CTCCATTTTCATACCCTCCCATACAACCTTGCGGGCGGCCGGGGTCTGCTTCGATTCCGTGTTGGAGGGCGGTAGAAAGGTGATATCTTCATCCGGCATGTAGGCACTATCATCCTGCTCCTTGTACTCCTTGTCCCTTGTTGGCGATACTTGTGATTCTGAGGATTCTGAAACCAAAAGACGGAGTGAGAACTGCTTTTCTATGTTAATGGCGTATTCGTATAATTAAATATTTTCCCCACGTTTTATCACCAGCTTGCCTTAACACTCAAAGTGACAGCATGTGTCGAAACTGATAACCTTAGGTTTAAATTATTCATACATGAAGCATTTGATGTTAAGATAAGACAAAAATCCCGCGGAAAATCAGACTGTTTCTGATGACGGAACATCGAATAAAGTTTGACCCCAGATACCAATTGTAGTAGTCATGTGATCTCGAGGCCATTGTGGACTATAAATACTGCTTTTTTCTCTGGGTTCGAGCAAGAATCCGAAAGGTAAGGCCAACAAACGTCTTGTTTCAGCGATTGCGTCTTCTCCTTCTGAATCTCTTTCTGGAAATCGCCTGCTCACTTCTATCGGTTATGCTTGTCGTGAGAAGTAGCATTCGTAATGGTGAATATTGGATACGATTAGCTGTAATAGTCTAACTGTCCATAAATGTATGCGAAACAATGAACCACTTACCAACATCCATTGAGTCATCACACTGAAGCAACTCCTCACCCGCAACATCTAGTTCTTCGTCCTTTATGAGCGCGTTTGTCTAAGTCAGGAAAAATAGGTTGTAATAGTTACATTACCTCGGTTCCAGAAGTCTTTCGAGGGACTGAAGCGTCAGTGGTTTCTTCCGAAGCGGTATTGGGTCGTAACGGTGGTACGACAGGTATTGGGGGCACCGTAGCACCAGGAATATGGATTTGGGCGTCTGTGGGGAGGGTCTGTGAAGTAAACTGTGGCTGTAGGGCAGGCTGGTTAGTTATGGGGTGAATGGGGGGCGGAAGCTGACAGAAGTTAGCGGGCATAAACGGGAATGGGGTTGGCTGGGGAACAGTTGAGGATGTGAGGACTGGAAGGGTGGCATCAGGGGCTTGGAAGGAGAGAGGTGGTGGGGGGACCAGAGTGGGCAATACTGGTGGCAGGGTCGAAAAATCCGCCTTCGTCTTGGCTTCCCGTCTCGCCAGCCACTTTTGGTAGTCAACGCCAACGGACTCGCATACTACGTGCTCGATTGAAGGACGGAGAGTTTCACTCGG